CCACCAGCAACACACAAGGGTTCCAATTTCTCCACGGCCTCTTCAACATTTGTTATATTCTTTTTTTTTTTTTTAATAACAGCCACACAAATGGATGTGAAGTGGTATCTCATGGTGTGTGTGTGTTTTTATTTCCCATAATCAATCTTGGAGTAGATTTCAGTTTTCCCTCATGGACTTCATTGTTATTAGGAGGCCTATTTTTTGTCCTTGCACTTCCCCATGCCACACTCTTCTTCCAGGTCTGCAAAGCACATTGACTTCAGACCTGCTGCCATGCACGATGGAAATAGACTCCCAGTGAGTTTTTTTCTACCTCTAACATCGCACAAAGTTTAAACCCTATCATACACCCCTTATTCCATATCATTAATATGGTTTTATTCCTCTGATCAAATCCTGGGGTGCAATTGATGTACTCTCACAGGGAGTTGAAGTTTTGGCTATAAATTGTCCTTCTTCGTTTTATTTAATCCTCTTTAGCCTGTTCTACTTTGTTTGATATCGGGATCACAGCTCCTACTTTTTTAGAGTTGGGTTTTCTTTTCTGACCAAATTTGAAAATCTCTTAATAGGCAAATAAAGCCATTTATAAGTTGATATACTGACATGATTTGGTCTCATCTCTGTCATATTATTTTCTGTTATAATTACTGCATGTGTTATGCTCTACTTATTGTGTTCCTTTCACTGTTTGGTGTTTATTCTTTGCTATTTGAAACATTTTTCTTTTAGGGTTTTGAAATAGGATTTCCAATATTTTGGAATTCTTATTTTGCTTTAGTGTCATTTTTTAAGATTTTATATTATCCTTAATCTCTTCTTTTAATTTTTAACCTTTAAATTTCTGGTCTGTCTGTTTTTTATGATCTCCCCTGACTCCCATGTATTACTTATTTAACAACTCCATTTTTCCTTTTCTCCCTCCCTCTCCCTCAATTGTTTGCACTCACACCTGTTCCACCTTCCCAGAAAGTATTGTGTGTGTACTGTTCTCCCACCCATTAAGTGTATGAGTACTCTCGCTCAGTCACTTTGCTGGCTTCCTCAGTTATCTCTTGGTTGGGGAAGGTCATTCTCCAGGAAAGAAATGAGACGTTCTGTGAATTTTTGCCCTCAGCTCACATCTGTTTGTCTGTAACTTTGATCCTTGAAGTGTGGACACAAAAACCTTTGGCTGGTACTTTCTCCAAGTAAATGTTTTCCCACTGCTGCCTTGCTTTGTATGCTGTTAAGAAGTCTGATGTCAGCCTAAAATTTCATCTCTGTAACTAATTTGATCTTTCTGTCTTTAAAAACCTAATAGTTTTACTAACATATATTTTGAAGTTGATTATTCCAGACCAATTTCCCAAGGTACATGGAAGTTACTTTCTTTTTTTTTAAAGATTTTATTGGGGAAATGGAGGAGGGGAAAAGCATGGGGAATCGGGGGAAGATGAACAGACAAGTTGCTGTCGTTTTGTTCTTCAGGTCTAGTTGTGGAGGACGTTGCTTCACTAGCCCATGTTGGTATTGTGATCATTGTGCTCTTCCCGACTGAGGCAGATTGGTTGCCGGCCTCTGGACGGCCACTCACGGTGGCTCTTGGCAGCTCACACCGGCTGCCGGCCGCTCACGCTGGCTGCCAGCCACACACCGTAGGTTATGGCAGCCCACTGCAGCAGGGGCTGCAGCCTACACCGTCGCCGGGGACTCATGGCAGCTCAGCTCCAGGTCAAGCTGTTGTTCACCATCTTAGCTGTAGAGGGCATTGTCACTGACCCCCATGTGGGATCCGAACCAGGCCCTGCTGTTCAGAGCTGGCGTCCCAAACCAGCTCTTAAACAACGCACCACTCGGCCGGCCCAGGGAGTTACTTTCGATATGTAATTTAAAATTTCTCTTATTTCTGTGTTATTTTATGGAATTGTAGCCATTTCATTTTTATTGAGACATAATTGACATACAGCACTGTCTAAATTAAAGGTGCACAGCACGGTGACTTGACTAGCATATTGTGAAATGATCACCACAGTAGTTTTAGTTAACATCCATCATCTCATGTAGATGCATATTGTTTAAAAAATGTTTTTTCCTTATGATAAGAACTCTTAGGATCTACTCTCTTAACTTTCAAACATACCGCACAGCAGTGTTAACTGTAGTCATCATGTTACACATTACATCTGGGATTAATATTTTATCTCACGGTTTCTGCGTTAGGAACTCCAGTTTTAGGTAATTTGGTTCTTCTTTTCTGACTTTAATTTCAACAACTTATTTTGAATCTTTTTAGTTCATTATCTTATTTTCAATTTCTGGATTAATTTATTACCATTCTTCAGGACCCTTTTACATATTTATATTTGACTATATTCTCCCTTGGGAACCTTGTAATCATTTTGTTTTTTCTGGGATAGTTTTATCTTTATTTTCAATTTCTTTCCTGAATTTGATCAACCTTTGTTGCATTTCTTCCTAATTTTTGTCTAGTCTGTTCTTGGGTTTTGAATTTCAGATTCTAGTTGTATAGATGTGTATGTATGTGTGTGTATCCAAATACATGATACTTTGTTCAGTTTGACATGTGGTGTCAAACCGCTTTTCTTCTGTTTCACAGTTTTATCGGGGGGGGATTTTATCAGCTGAAATGGTATGATTCCTTTTTTTCATTATAAGAAATGTGATTTTCTGCTTTCTTTTTGCAGTAACTTTGCATGCAGTTGAATTTGCTTGTCTGTTACTAGGCATTTTGACACAGGGTTTCTGGTTCAAAAATGTTCCATTTGTATGCTGAAGTGCAGTTTGTTTGTTTTTTTTGTTTTTTTTTAAGGATTTTTATTGGGGAATTGGGGGGATGG